GCGTAAAGCACCGAGATGGTGCGTTAGCAACCGAATTCCCAGTCTCGCGTATGTACCAAAGTAACGACGTTACCACGACGCGCCTACTAGCATGATAGGCGCTCTTTTCAAATCAAACCACACCCATACAAGCTGAACCGATTGCAAATAAAGCGGGATAGAGGAAGCGCGCGTTGTAAGCTGCTCATTGGTTTGCTTCCGAATGCAGCACGAGAAGAGTGCCCGGAGCGCAGTGTACTGCAGCCTGCAGCAGAGACGTGCTATCAATCACTTGAACGCAGTCATATACGCTGCCGTGCAAGTCTAGAAACTAGACTTTTCCAAGGAAATGGACTGCGAATGCCGCAGAAAGTAGCTCAAGGCACATGCTTAACAAATGCGGCTGGAGGAGTCGTCGCGAAAAGCTAAACGCCGCTTGTATACTTGCATTCCGCCGAATCCAGGGTCAACGCGGTGCGGGAGCGCGCCTACTTCCAATGGCCTTCAAAGACACACTACTAGCAACACGGGGAATCAATAAGCACAGCGCACTCATAGTGAACTCAGGTAGTACGTCAGGCGCTTGCACTGTCTTTGAAGACTCGCCGAGGAGACACCCTTCCGTCGGCTATGCGTGGATCAAGCAACCACTTGTCGCCGACGACGATATGCACTCGCTGAAGCCGGCTTTCTCTTCAGCTACAAATAATTGCACAAATAACGTCAGGTCATATGAGACTTGGCACGCACACAGGCGCACAACTATGTGGTAACTGTTAAGCCAAGAACAACGCACTCCAAATCACAAACATTGTCACAAACGACTCGACACGGTCGCCATGATGACATAATGTTTATGTTTTGTTCTCTTGTCGCAGCTATTGTGCGTGCGTGTGTTTGGATTGGAACGCTCGATGCGTCTTGCGCTGCGGCTGTAGAGCACACGTGTGTTTCGGTTTCGTATCTTTGCTGTCCTTGCAGCCAGCATTTAAAGAATCGTTAGAGGCATAGAGTTTCATATAGGTTTTATACATTATGAAACTTTATGGGCATGGGTCGTGTCAAGCAGAATAGTACCATAACTGTGGTACTAAAGTCTTCCAATATTGCCGAAACAAAAAAAAAAAAAACGGCTTTGAGTAACTCATAGAGTTAAGAATAACTACAGAAATGGCAAAAATCAAATAAAGAGGTATGTGTTTCATGATAATACTGTAGCGATGCTGAGGCAGACAGGTTAAAAAAACAAGCGTCTTTATTAGGGCGAACTTGTGCCCACGATCCTAAAGACTATGATCGTCAAGTACGAGTAGCCGAGTGGCACAGATCCAACTATCTTCCTCTTCCTCGTTGCCGGAGCGCACGAACGCGTGGCGCATGCCAGCTGGGTCTTGCTGGTGCTGGTGCCATGATGATTGTGGCGGGCTACTTGAACGTGGCGAACCTGTTGCAGCATTACCCCCCTCCTCAGACGCATCGTCCCGATGCTTAAGACATCGAAAAGATACATGCGCACTCTCACTCGTTTTTCGACAATCTGTCATGATAGGGCTTCATGCGGACTACGTGTACCACTTCCGTGGGATTGCGGCGTCTTGAACTCACGTGTCCAGCGAATCTGACTTCATAAGTGACGTTGCTGATACGGTTGAGTACTTCATAAGGGCCGAAGTATCGGCAAAGAAGCTTTTCAGAGAGTCCGCGGCGGCGCACTGGGATCCATATCCACACTTTGTCACCGGGATGATAAAGTGCGTCACTGCGTCACTAGTTGTACCGACTAGAATCGACGTGCTGTTGGTGGCGTATTCGGTATCTTGCCATTTGCCTGAGGGTGATACAGGTTCGGCACGTTCAAGTAGCCCGCCACAATACGAAGGTAAGCGCTTTACTGTTTGAAGCGAACTCGGCAAGTTGCCTTAGTACGCAAAGTTATGAACTTGAGAAGACCAATGCACATGCTGTGGGGAAGATAAGGAAACGACGGAGTTTCATACAATAATTGTGTAAAATTCTGTGTGACGGAACATTCACGTTGTGTCTGATAAATGCTTGCGATATGTGTTTAGTTAACAAATACATGATAACTGAGTCATTTAACACTTGTTTAGTAATACTGTTCTAAGTTTAATGCATTGTACAATTATGAGTCCGTCTGACTGAATGTAGAAATATAGGTGTGTGAGAAGCATCCATCCATGCACATCGTAATGCACATGCATCCCAGCTCATAGAGTTAATATACGGAGTCTATATATTAGCTCTATGTCCCAGCTGGCACAGACTCAGCTGGAAACTTTTTGTGGAAACCAGGTGGAAACATGGAAATTCTATCAACTCTGCGTCGCTATCATGGTCGCTATCCATGTATGGATATGCCATGCAGTGGACATGGTGGACAGGCAGCGAAGCGAGCGCATGACGCGCATTTGAACCGCTCTAACACGTCAGACACAACACGCAACTTTCAGACACAACGTCCAGTTGTGTCTGAAAGTTGGACAGGATGCCGCGTACCTGTAGCGTACCGGGATGTGGATTGGTTCAAGATGGAAGTGATGCACAATTGTCGGTGTTTTGCCTGCCTAGAGACAGAAAACGGCGGGAAGAGTGGAAGCACGCCTTACTGCGAGCTGGTGTAGCATTTAATTCCCCAAGTCTGCACGTTTGCGAAAATCACTTCGGTGAGAGAAACATCGTTCGCGCGGACCAGTGGCTCAGAAGTGTTGTCGTAACGCCATGTTTCGAGACATTTACCGCACGCTGTGCCAAAGATTTTCAACAGCCTCCCTGCGTCTTGTGCTCACCTGCCTACACAGCGCACGTATTCCAAGCAATGCCAGAAACCGCCACCTGTGCTGGAGACCGTCAGGGCCGCACCGACAGTGTGCCTGAGCACCTCTGACGCAGCTACTACGGAGAATTGCGGCACCGAGATGACCAAAAGTATAGAGGTGGCATGCCAGGTGGAAAGATCAACATGCAGCTCTTCGCAGACCCAAGGTGTAGACGTGGCATGTCAAACAGACGGACCACCATGTAGCTCTTCGCAGCTTAAAAAATCAAAAGAACACGACGGTTACTTGGAACGGAGACATCAACAGTACCAATAGAAGCTTGCTAGGCCGATGGTGCAAAAGGAAGGCTAGAAAAAAAAAAAAACTGTACAAGCCGCCAAGTACGTGCTGCAGTCGAAGCTTTAAACAGATGAGCAGCTAGCTCGACCTTTTATTTTACGATATGTGATACGTCCTTTTCTCAGTCACGCAACGATATTAACGATATCAAATTGACTATTGACAGGTACAAGAAGTGGGCTCATGACTGTATGCAGCTCAAGATAAAATCGACATTAGTGTACATACACATTCTTTCATGAAAATGGGCTCCTTTTTTTTTTCTCACATCTCTGAATGCTATGCAAATAATTGAAGAACCTAAGAGCGGAGTTTGGATTTCATAAAAATTTGTTTCTTGTACTAAAGGAAAAGCTTCAAAGGCTCTGAAAGAGAATGTCAAGTTTAAGAATGTTCCTGGCAATACGCTGGGGCCTAAATTATTTGGCGTTTGTCGTTACTCCAGATGGCGGTGGCTTTCCAACTCAGCCTATCATTGGTGTGTTCCCGACAGGCGTCCCAAGAGTCCATGATTATTATTAGCAAACGCCCAAACCTGTTGGCTTCGGCAACCGTTTGAGCGACGGTGACCTCATGGGCGTTTGACAGAGCGCAATTCTTCAGTGATAGCCGACCTTTTTAATTGAGCGCCAATCATTGTCACTGTAGTACATTTGTGATGTAGCAGCGTCAACATAGATTGTTTTTTTTTTTCTGCTAGGTCTTTGTTACAGTCTCCGATGCATGGCTCTGCGCGTCTGCCCTGGTAATTGGCAGGGTGCATGCATGGAAATGGGAGCAACCTTGAATGTAGATATGATCTCATATGCAATCTTGGTAAAGGAGGGCTTGTCCTTTTGTGGTGGTTTGTAGTCTTGTGTTCTGGGAGGCAAGCTACGCCTTCTTGTGTTCATCGTAAATACTGTTGTTCCAAGGTCTACTACTATTTTTGTACTTGCCGTACGGGTTGGCATGCTTAAAGGGACACTAAAGGTAACTATTAAGTCGACGTTGATTGTTGAAATAGCGGTCCAGAAACCTCGTAGTGTTACTTTTGTGCCAAGGAAGGGTCTATTTTGAAATAAAATCTCGTTTTAGTGGTCCGCATCGGGTTAGTGCACTTCAAGTTACCCGCCTCGAAAAGCGTACCGACCAGACCGACACACGTCACTGTTGCCGTACACAACGTTGCTCGGCAAAACTGCGCTAGTAGCAGCAGATCAAAAGCGGCGGGAGCCACAGCAGCAACAACGACCATTGATAAATTTCCTGCCATTGGCTTCAACATTGCAGACACTGTTTGGTTCAACTGCACCCCGCTAGATGGCCCTACCTGTTGAGTGTAACTACGCAAAAATTGATTTTTTTGAACCACTCACGCCCTTCCCCATAATAACGCCCGGCGATTCTTTTTTTCCATGAATCAAACAGAAACAACGAAGCAGCATTTTATTGTGTCTCTTAATGCACAGAAGGTTCTTTATTTAGTGCAGCTAGATTGATTACTAGTGATTAAGTGTAGGCGATCCATCTGATGTCATCGAGATAGTTTTGTGAAAATACTACTGCGGCGCATGTGTTCTTGTGTATTTACCTTGATTTATCGGATTGTCGTCTTAGGTGTTGTCATACATTGAGCTTTTACTCTGACGTAAATTGTTATTTGACTTTAGTGTCCCTTTAAGGATTGGCGCCCTTCTTCGGGAGACCGATCTCAAGGATACTCTAGCCGAGATAGATCAGTGGCCGGGAGCATAGAGGCGGTGACTTGCAATTGTGGGGACATTCTGGAGCATTTTCGAGAAGCAAGAAGCCCCACAAGAAACTATAGACAGGGAGCAGTCGGTATCAAGGCGGCAGCTGCAAGCAAGTTCATACGCATGGTTACACATTTACCACAATCACCTAACACAATACAGAGACATGTCCTTGGTGTGAGAAGAAACCCACAGTTTGCCGCACAGCATGGGGATGTCAGAATATAATGGCAGTACTCGTTGTATCCAACACCATGCTGAAACAGTGGAAAGTGCACAACCAAATATGGCTGGCCGAACGCACCAGACAGCCAGAAATGACCGCGGAAGTTCTGGACTGAGGACTCTTCCCCAGACCAGAAGCTCTCTTAATAAGCAAAGTTCCATTTGGCGTTGCATATGTGGTTGCCAGACTGGAAAAATGGTTGTTGCCAAACTGCCGCTAAATTTGGCAGAAATTTTTTTTTGTAGTTGTGGCTTCTCCGCAAGAGTTTGGTGCTATCCGCGGTGAATTTCGCGAGTGCATGAGCGACGCTGGCCGTTTTAATAAACGGAATGAACCGAGCCTAGCAGAAGTCGAGCGCGGCGCTGCTGCGCAATTAAGAGGCCGTTTTAATTCCGTTTTAATTAACGAAATGAACCGCGCATTACAGAATTCGTTTTCTTTACGGAATGTACCGCGCCTAGCAGAAGTCGAGCGTGGCGCTGCCGTGCAATTAAGACGCCGTTTCAATTCCATTTTAATTAACGGAAGGAACCGCGCCTTGCAAAAGTCGAGCGCGGTGCTGCCGTGCAATTAAGAGGCCGTTTCAATTCCGTTTTTTAATTAACAGAAGGAACCGCGCCTAGCAGAAGTCGAGTGCGGCGCTGCGGCGCAATTAAGAGGCCGTTTTAATTAACGGAATGAACCTCCCATTACAGAAGTCGAAGCGCGTTCTCTTGCTGTCTCTCTTACGGAGAAGCCACAACTACAGGAGAAACATTTTCAGCCAAGAAGTGCACCGCGGATAGCACCAAACTCTTACGGAAAAGCCACAACTACAGGAGAAAAATTTTCTGCCAAATTTAGCGGCAGTTTGGCAACAACCACCCCAAAGTCTGGCAACAGACTTATGCAACGCCAAATAGAACCTTGCCTCTTAATGCACAGAAGGTTCTTTATTTAGTGCAGCTAGATTGATTACTAGTGATTAAGTGTAGGCGATCCATCTGATGTCATCGGGATAATTTTGTGAAAGTACTACTGCGGCGCATGTGTTCTTGTGTATTTACCTTGATTTATTGGATTGTCGTCTTAGGTGTTGTCATACATTGAGCTTTTACTCTGACGTAAATTGTTATTTGACTTTAGTGTCCCTTTAAGGATTGGCGCCCTTCTTCGGGAGACCGATCTCAAGGATACTCTAACCGAGATAGATCAGTGGCCGGGAGCATAGAGGCGGTAACTTGCAATTGTGGGGACATTCCGGAGCATTTTCGAGAAGCAAGAAGCCCCACAAGAAACTATAGACAGGGAGCAGTCGGTATCCAGGCGGCAGCTGCAAGCAAGTTTATACCCATGGTTACACATTTACCACAATCACCTAACACAATACAGAGACATGTCCTTGGTGTGAGAAGAAACCCACAGTTTGCCGCACAGCATGGGGATGTCAGAATATAATGGCAGTACTCGTCGTATCCAACACCATGCTGAAACAGTGGAAAGTGGCACTGTCTGACCGGAAAGTGGACAACCAGATATGGCTGGCCGAACGCACCAGACAGCCAGCAATGACCACGGAAGTTCTGGACTGAGGACTTTTCCCCAGAAGCTCTGCGGAAAAACTCCAGAACCCGATAAAGTTCATTGTTTCTCTCCCTCTTTTGAGTTTAACAAGCATGAGCTTCCTAGCAGTAGATATTTAAGATGTTGAGTCTCTGGGATTTCAAAAGACTTCATGAAGTAGATTTTCTTCTCTTTAGGGTGTATTAATGTTCAACAAAGTTAGTGCGGGGAAGAATGTTCATTTACGAAAAAGTTGCATGGTCCTTCTGGGTAAAGTTGATTTTTGGGAACACACCAGGGCATCCGATCATGTAAAGGATGGCAATCACGTTTTGACGTTTTTGTTGTGCCACAGTTGGTCTCGGACGCCGAAATTGCTTGCTTGACCCTTGCAACGTCACCAGGCGGTCCGTGTCTATGACATCGTCAGAGCGGTTGGTTACAGACTGCAGAGACATTCTGGGCTTCTAACGCTGCCCCGGGTACAATTTTTGCATAACTGCTGTTGGAATGCATTTTCAACTTTACAACTTTGAGGCTGTTACAGTAGATGCCGTCATTTGTGACAATTCTGCATCTAATAGGTCTGCTTTGAGCTTGCCATGGTATGTAACTATTTTGCTGCATTATGTCAGTGATATCATGTTATTTATATTTGTATATAACAATATTTTTTTCCAAGTTAACAGGGAGATCGCTGCATTACAGACGTTTTTTTCAACATCAATATAATCCTGTGAGAACGATTTATTCTGTAATCGATCCTTTACATATATGCTCAAGCCTCATCATAAGAAACACATCTGCCACAAAAATACTTTAAATACAAAAATTTCTTACAAGCGATTATTTGTAACACTATCTATGGCCAAGTTATTGGTCACTTACTTTGTTATAACCAATAATTCATTATATCCAAACTTGTTATATTGAGGTTTGAGTATTTAAGTGCATACTCAACAGTCTGCTAAAGGCTGGAAAGCTTTAATGAAGCATTGCCATTCTGATATACCTATGACGTTGTGCTTATAGAAAAGAATTGCCCCCTCCAAAAGCTGCCAGCATCTCAGGTGCTTTCACACTGCCTCAGAAATCGGGTTCCTAGGTATTGCAAGCTTTCTGCACGTCACCTGTTGTTGCACTGCCTCCGAAATCGGGCCAACGATCACTGAGGCAATGCAAAACTGCAATATCATGCGATACCCTCAATGTGTGACGTAATTGTGACATCACAAATTATGCTGACCTGTGATGTTGTGAAGCGTCATATGGTGACGTTAACACGAGATTTCTCGCATCACGTGTTGACGCTGCTGGCACGGGAGGCCGACTGTCATTTTCGCGTTTCTTGGGATGCATGTGGTCTTGGTTATCCCTGCATGCGGGGCTGCTTTTGATTGAAAATTAGTGACTAGCGCTGCATACAAGATATTTTAGTTTGATTGTAAAGTAAGGGTGCGTGCTCATTTGAGTATTCAGGTCCAGTCGACATTTTCTGCGACGTCGTAGACATGGACCTTCTGGTGACGTTGCAAGGGTCAAGCAAGCGTTTTCGGCGTCAGAGAACATTTGCGGGGTGCGCACGCTACCCCGACTGGCGCTCGGCGAGGACCATTGTTCGTCATCTCTCTTGCTCTGTTAGCCGTTTTCAAGCTGGTTTTGGCTGCTTATGACATGACGCTTTTCTTTTTTTTGAGGAGGACACGCTTAAAACACCTACTTCGGTTTATTCTTCACCACCCACTATTTGAAAACAGCGCGTTCAGCATCGCCCAGGCTTGAACGCACTTAGTCTCAGGCACAGAATTTAGGCGGGCATTTCGAACCGTCGCAAAAATGTTCTGAATAAATGATGCTAGCATTAATTATAGAATGTGCTAGAGCATCTACGATTTAATTTCAGCTCTACCAGACATAAAGCTACAAATGACTAAAAAAGTCGCAAACAATACTTTGCCTTTAAGGGATCCTTTAATTGTAAAAACAATAAAGGTTTGAGAAAATTACCGAGCACTGTAAGGAACGACTGGGAAACTACATTGCATGAGCAACTGAACTTTAATTTAAGCGTGTAGTTTCATCATTAGGCTTCCCTCTCGCAGCTGGGCTAGAGATAGTGCAGACGACAAAGTCAAAGGGGTTTACCTCAGCTTTAAGGAGTTGAAAGCAAGGTACTCTCAAACCTCATTATAGCAAAGTTGCATCTTACACAAAAATAAGTTCGTTGTATACGAAAATATGTTATATATTCTTCACACTATGTATATTGCAAGACTGTTTTGCATCTACTTCGTTATAACCGACATTTCGTTATATCCGGTTTCGTTATATTGCGGTTTGAGTGCAGTATGTTAACACACACCCTAAGCTTTACTTGTCCCTATTTTTCCTACAAAGAAAGTGCTCCAGACTTTTTTTTTATTTGAAACATCATCATGCACTATGGAGGGCAGTGTGTCAAGGGTGGCACATCTTGACGTGCCGGCGCATGCTGTCCATCCTGGTGAACCTCTTGGTGCACAGGCCACACGTGAAGGGCCGCTCACCACTGTGGCAACGCATGTGAACCCTTAGGTGGTCCTTGCGAATAAAAGTCATTGAACACTGCTCACAGCGAAAGGGTCGCTCTCCCGTGTGTGTGCGTTCATGTCGGACCAGGTCAGATTCGATATTGAATCCCAGTGGACAGTACGTGCACTGATACGGACGCATCGAAGAGTTGGCTGCAGCTCTGCAGTGGCTCCCACTGGCCGCTGACTGAAAAGTGGACAAAAGTCATAACATAACAGTCATCTTAATTATATGTACAGCATGGAAATAAGTGGATAGACTAATTTTGATCTCCATGCAAAAGTACTTAATTTTCAAACGCATATCAAATGAATGCATTTGACATTTGTTTTTCCTTATCGTAATTCCACTGAACCTGCATAGCTGCCTCTAAAGACAGTCGAGCCCGCTTATAACGAACCTGAGCGTGAAGCGGCATCCGTTCGCTGTATACCAAAGTTTGTAGTAAATGAAACACAGCTTTTAAAAAAGTGCAAGTAAAAACAAACTTTTTTGCCCAAAAAGTCCGTGATGCATGTGTTTCGAAGAGCAGAAGCGATAAGGGCGGTCGCTAGTTTATTTCAAACAGCAGCGTGCTTGTTCGCCGAGGCCCGAGGCATAAGCTGCATGAGGGACTGGCTTCAAAGTTTCGTCGTTCTCGCAACTCGATTTCTCCAAATCGCTCTTGCCACGTACTTTGTTCACAATGCCCTAATCTGTGCACGGTTCCGTGGTGTCGGCATCATCATCGGCCGTAATGAAACTATCGCAACAGATGTTTCACCCGCTCTCCCATGTCGGAGTCGACGGCGTGCTGCCACAAATCGCCGCCGAAGTGATCCTGTTCGGAAGCTTCAGGCTCAGACTGAAGCTTCCGAAGACGGAAGCTTCAGGCTTCAGGCTCAACGAAACGACGACACAGAGACAAGAAAGACACGAAAAACACGAGCGCTATAAGACACGAGGCGTGTCCTTCTTGTCTCTGTGTCGTCGTTTTGTTCTCGCGCTATAACTATCGTCATGCCATACCAACTAGCCCAAGCTGCTACACTTCAGGCTCAGCATCGGGCTCGACGTCCACGAAGTCGGCCTCGCGGAAACAGTTTCATGCGCATGTAACCGAATACCAGGACGCCCGAAGCATCAAGTTGGCTGCCAGGTGGTCGAGAGCTATGAGCAAGCGCTCCGCAACTCGGCATTTAACGCGTGGATTACGCTCAAGCCAAGCGGTCAAACTTTCTACACTTTGTTGAACAGCGCGAAAAAGCGTGCAAGTCCTCCCGTCTGCTATCCTAATCACACACGCACACCAAGAGTGAGCAAGACATGCATACGCGACACACATGCCAGAACGTGCGGAACAGCTCTGGGCCCGTTTCTAGTCAGAAAACGAAACGAACTCGAGCCAGCGTGGCTGGCGTCGCGGAGCGGTGGAGACGGTCGAAGGGGTTGTGATCAACAAAGGGTCACGGAAGAAGGGTCGGCGTTTAACAATAAGAATGTATGGGCACCTCGCCGATGCCTGATCGGTGGTCGAAAGTGGTTTCCCGGGAAGTCGGCTGAGCGCTGACCCCGTTCGTTGTAACCGATCAGTGGTGCTCGGAGACATTCATTGTAAGTACGATTTTGCGCCATTTAACCAATGCATATAATCACGGTCATGCGGATATTGTTCGTTTTAAGCGAAAGTTCGTTTTAAGTGGGGCTGTTATATGTGGGCTCAACTTATTATAATCAAAGTAAAGGATGCTTATAGAAGTCATCTTGTGCACTATCGCAACAAGTGTGTATGCAGTCCTGTATTCAACAAAATAACAAAAGGTACCATAGCACTACTTTACAGAGGCCAGATCACTGGCGCATATATGAACAATTCACTTAAATACAAACTCAAAAGGACATAAGAACTGCCTTGTCTTGTCAGAAATACCCCCACAAAAACACATTGTTGATCTTTGAACTCGAAATAAAATTGGTATAACTCGTATCCTCACAATAGTATTTGATTATTCATTGACATATGATGTCTTTCACAATGTCTATCTGTGTTTGGCAGCTGAAACAGCATTTGATGTCGATGCGTATTGACGTCTGGTGGCACATTTCTATCCCAATAACTAACACCCACAATTTACCTATTGTGGCAGCTGTAGCAGTTGATGTACACCAGAACCCATCATATGGTGAATTTCGCACAAAGATGGCATCAACATGAATATGATGAAAGAACATTTGATAGGCACCCTTTCAAAACGTTGTCATTTGATGAGATCAACAGAAAGGTGTGCGCTCCCCAGTAAGAGGATAACCTACACCAGTGGTTCTTAGCCATGGATGTGTCGGGGACCCCTTGCAGCAGAGGGGAGGGAGGGGGGTACGTAGGTAAATTAACACTACTGGAACGTGAAACAGGAGCCTTTTATTGCTACCAAAAACATCAAATAAATGTGCCACATCATTTAATTTTGGACAGTTCATAAATACGTGGCACAGTCACGCCTAAAGAAAAATGTGGTTGAGGGTTTCACGGATCATAGAAATGGCTTCGAGGACCCCCATTTGAGAACCACTGACCTACATTACTGCCCGTACATAAAACACAGCGCTGCAGGAGCGCGAGAGGTGCAGTTCCCAGATTGAGCCGCGAATGCCCGAAGGTGTACTGCTTCTTGATGGCACGATTCTCTCCATACCGAAGCACTCATTTGCGCGGAATATGCCTGTCGACATCACTGCCCTTGCGTGGCGCACCCGAAGCAGTGGGCGGTGAAAAAATGTTGCTCGTGCTTCCAAGCTGCATTGTTTTGGCAACAAGACATGACACGCTGGCATGGTGTGAAAGGCAGAGCCTGTAAATGCGTTGCAAGTGTATAGAATCACTGCATCGCTGCACTTAAACCACTGAAGTGCTCCCGACAGAAAGTGCTTTTTAGAATGCTTCCAGATAGCGACGCCAACCAAAAGCACTGAGACTAGGAGGAAGTGTGAGAGATGAAACGCATGCTTGTGAGGCAACATGCATGTGCGCCGGCAGCACAGTTGGCAAAGTGCCTGGCACTTGTCACAGACAGAGTGAGAGGTTTGACTCCAATGTCATCTGCATCAATGGAGGCTTTTTGTTTACTTTTCATTGTCACATGATTGTGAGCATTTTACCAACATTATTACCACATGAAAATATGTGAATTGTTTGCATGCCCCAGTATAAAACGCTTTCATTCTAAACAACAAAAGCAACAAAAGGAAGAACTGAAAACAGAACAAGTGTGTCAAAACATCTGATGTGAAAAGTGGGAATGAAGTTTGTTAGCAATGAGAATGTAGTCACAGGATGAGCATCGATTTCACTCTACACAACAGAAAAAAGTGACTTTCTCGTCTCAGTTTCCAATTAGCAATGGCTCTTTAGTGGAGTTGCTCAAGCTGGTGTGGCATCATAACTTAAAACATTTCATCTGCGATGTGAGGAAGATTGAAATAGAGCAATACTGACATCAAAGCTCTAAGAAGGGCATCCTAGTCTCACATGTGACGTCGTTGCCTGTCATCAGGACAGTGAATAGCTGTCTATTACCATTCCAAAAATAATGGATGCTTAGTGTTGACAGTCACTACAGATGTACCGTATAATGCGGAATATAGGTCGAGGCGGAATATAGGTCGACCCCCTTACCTTGACCAGCAAAAAAAAAAAAGAAAAACGCGGAATCGTTCACTGCTTCACTTTAGTCAGTCCTCACAGTCCTCCGAGCTGTCGGAGCTCTCCGACGACGACGACTGCTTGTCACTAGCCGCCTCCCACAGCATGTCGTCCTCGGTGCCGTCGAGAGCGTTGCTGATGCAGCACTTCTTGAATGCGCGCACCACCATCTCTTCAGGCAGAGACCTCCATGCCTCGGAGACCCAACCACAAACTGTCGCGAGAGGTGGCCTGCGCAGCCGGCCTGTCGGGGTCCGCGGGTTGTCGCCAGCCATCCATTCGGTGTACAGCGCACGCACACGGTCTTTAAAAGGTTTATTGAGGACGACGTCCAACGGTTGAAGTGTTGATGTCATTCCTCCCGGAATGACGACAAGATCCGTCCTTCCGTCGCGAAGGCTCTCCTTCACCGATGCTGTCAAATGCCCGCGAAATGCATCCAACACGAGCATGTTCCGGCGCTGCAGGAGGGCTCCGGGCCGCCGGTTCCACACTGTGCGGATCCATTCGCGCATTAGGGCCTCGTCCATATACCCCTTCTCGTTGACGCGGACGACGACATCCCGCGGGAAGGCCTCCTTCGGCATCGTCTTCCGCTTGAAGATTATGAAGGGGGGCAACTTTCTGCCGTCGGCCGTGCAGCAAAGCATAACGGTGAAGCGCGAATGCTCGCTACCGGTCGACAAAAGCCTCACCTCTTTTGCCCCGCGTTCACAAACAGTCGTGGACGACGGCATGTCAAACCACACCGGCGTTTCGTCGGCGTTGCCGATCTGGCCTAGCATGTAGCCATGCTGCCGCCGGAGGTTGTTCACATAGAGTTGAAACTCTATCAATTTGTCCTCGTACATCTCCGGCAGCTTCTGGCATATCGACGTGCGCCGTCGAAGCGCAAATCCTTTGCGTCGCATAAAGCGACGGACCCAATAAATGGATCCCTTGAAGTCTTTCTTTGACAGGCCGGCTTCACGGGCGAGCTCGACGGCTTTTGAGCGAATGAGCTCCGCATTCACGGGAAGGGATTTGGCACGGTACTCGCGGACGAAATCCGCCACTTTGTCCTCGAGTTCCGGGTGCACAGCTCGGCGACCGCGAAACGACGTCTTCCTCGCGTTACACACTGACAGTTTGGATTTTTGGTTGCGCCAGTATCTGACGCTTTTCTCGGACACTCCAAACTGCCGCTGTGCCGCCATGTTGCCATTCACTTCCGCGAATTCTATAACTTTTCTTTTAAACGCGGCGGTGAACTGGCGCCGCGTCCCGGTATTCATAGCTGGTCGCAGAGTAAAAGTCGCCACTCTCTACGAACACGAAATGAACAAGAAAAGAAAAATGGCGTCGGCAGAGGCGTCGGCCCATGGAGGCGATGTCGATGCTGATGCCCAAAAAACATGCGACACTCCCTGTTGCCAGACGATCACTTTGTTTATGCCAAGGGCCGGTATATAGGTCGAGGGGTGACTTTTTAGCGAAATTTTTTGGAAAAAATCTCGACCTATATTCC